TAGAAACATTAGGAGATGGTCTTAAATGTTTTAAAGTTAACTGCTCCCAAAATTAATGGAGATGACCTTTCCATGCTTTGGACAGGAGGAAATGGAAGAATTCATGGAATCAGAGAATCTGAATGGTCTGGGTTGGAAAGAGCCTTAAAGATCACCAAGTCCCAACCTCCCTGATGTTGGCAAGAGCACATTCTACTAGACCAGGCTGCTCAGAGCCCCATCCAACCTGGCCTTGAACACTTCCAAAGATGGAGCAGCCACAACTTCCCTGGACAACTTGTTCCAGCACCTCACCATCCTCACAGTGAAGATTTTTTCCAAAGATTTTTTCCATCTAATCTACACCTACCCTCTTTTCATTCGAAGCCATTCCCCTTGTCCTGTCATGCCCTGTAAATGGTGTCCCTCCACTTTTCCTGCAGGCACCCCTCAGGCTCTGCAAGGCTGGAATTAGGTCAGCCTGAAACCTTCCCTTTTCCAGGCTGAGCAATCCCGATTATCCCAGCCTTTCCTCACAGGAAAAACTATGCATCCATTTAATCAACTTAGTGGCCTCCTCTGGACCTGATCCAACATGTCCATGTCCTCCCTGGGCTGGGGACCCCAGAGATGGACACAGCACTGCAGCGGGGTCCCGAGAGGGAGCATCCTTCCATCACTGCTTCTTTGGCTGCAGCCCAGGGCTTCGGGAAGCACAGCATCACTCATTAACATGGCTCATGAGCCGGCTGCATGCCAGTCCCGCGGGGTTTGGGTGTTTGCTGCAGGGAGAAGCCGAAGCAGGGATGCGCGGAGCGCTCCCCCGGCGCTGCAGTGCGGCCGGCTGCGGCTAGATGGCAGCACTGCACTGGGCCAGCTGCAGCCAGCCTGCCCGGGGCTCGACCAGCGCTGTGCGGGACAGCTGCAAAGATACAAGGCAACCGAGATGCTCCTTCGCGATAAAATGCAGTACCACGCCCAAAAGAAAAAAAAACAACCCAAAAAAGACACACCCCAAAAAAAAAAACCCACGGCAAAAAAAAAAAAAAACAAAACCAAAACAAACAAACAAAAAAAAACCCCAAAAAAACCAAAATCCCCCAAAAAATCAACAACAACAAAAAAAAAAACCCCAACCAAACCAAACCAAAAAAACCACCCCAAAACAAACAAACAAAAAAAAACCAAAACCAAACCAAACAAAAAAACCCCCAAAATAAACAAACAAAAAAACCCCAAGCCAAACCAAAAAAACCCAAAAAAAACCCCAAAATAAACAAAAAAAACCCCAAACCAAACCTAAACAAAAAAAAAACCAAAACAAAACAAAACAAGAAAACAAACAAAAAAAAACCCAAACAAGAAAAAAAACCAAAAAAAACCCCAAAAAACCCAACCCAAACCAAACAAACAAACAAAAAAAACCCAAAAAAACCCTAAAAGAACCCCAAACCAAACCAAAACAAAAAACCCAAAACAAACAAACAAACAAGAAAAAGCAAACAAACAAAAAAAAAAACCAAAAAAACCCCACCCCAGTGTGGACCTCAAAAAGAGAAGAAAAGGAGAAAGCAAACAAACAAACAAAAAAAACCAAAACAAAACAAAAAAAAAAACCCCACCCCAGTGTGGACCTCAAAAAGAGAAGAAAAGGAGAGGGGGAAAAAAAATCTTCAATCGTTTTGTTAAGGCTTTGGACTGTTCTTCCAGCCAAAAAAAAAAATCACAGTTCCCACAGTCACCTGGAACTCTGGCAAGGCAGATGCAGCACGGATAGCTCAGCAAAGCTTTTGTTATTTGGCTTGGTTTTGTCTCGAATGTGATGAGATAACATCGTCTCTCACAAGTCAGTTTTATGAGGATCTGTCAGCTCAGTCCCCATCTGTTCTGGAAAAATAAGACTTTTCAGGTTAGAGTAGGATGTGGATTCAAATCCACAGGGCACAGATTTAAATCAAAGTATCTGAAGCCCCTTCCAGCTGCCAAGTAGTGAGGGAAGGGTTTGCATTTGAGCTTCCCTGTCAAGCTGGTTTATGTTTCAAGCCTTTTATTGACAATTAACACTTAAAGTATATCCAGCAAAGAGGAAAACAAGGAAAAAGCACTGTGGTGTATGAGAATGCAGTCTATGCAGCACTGGGGAGACAGAGCAGGTAGGAAAGTAGAGTTTCATTAATTCACAGGTATTCACTTACAGCTACAAAATGAAAATAAAGTCCGCTAGAAGCAAGCAAGACATTGCCTGATGTAGAAAATGAGAATGAAAGCATAAAAGTGGCATGATGCAAGAGATCCCAAAGCTGATTTCTTAGAGTGTTCAGAGTTGACCACTATCAACTTGTGTGCATAGATCCACAAACTGTCACTGCTACTGAACATCCAACACTTGGAACTGCACCCTGCACTGCACGCTATTGAAAACTTTGAAGGAGGGTGACCTGGGGCATTTTCAACAGCTCCATCCTGAGCTCTGGTCACCAGTGTCATAGCTGGCTGTTAGAGATCTCTGCTCAGAGCTGCCACCCCATTCTTGGAGCTGAGCTTTGCCTCAGAGCCCTTTAAGAAATCAAGAGACTGTAAGTAGCAGCATTTGCACCGAAATTGCCAAGGTGTTACATTGATTTCTTTCAATAATGGTGACATTCATTGTCTTATTTCATCACCCTCCTCAGAATCCTAAATGCTCCACTAATGAAGAAACAGCTGCATCTGCTTGTGCTCTGCCACTGTCAGTGACGAAGAAAACAAAACTGGTCTCCTCAGGTATTGTTCACTGTCCTCATATTCAACTATTATATTCTCAGAGAATACCAAAAACTTTTCAGTAATCAATTACTAAGAAATTCAGGAGTGATCTATAATTTCACAGACTGTGCTATATAGGCAGAGGATTCTGCTCTAGCACCTCTCTCAGCCCTGTTTACAGCAAGCATCTGACAGGAGGGGAGCTGGCTGGGTGAGCAATGACTTCCCTCTGCACCAGAAATTCCTGTCCAGTTGGAAAGAGTTAGCGACTGTTACATCCTTTTTTATTTTTTTTCCCATTTGCATTCCTCATAAAATGATAGCACTATGCTGAAATCACTGAACATAACAAAGGCAAAGTCAGCCTGACAGCTCTGCCAAAGCAACAGCTGCAGGTACTGGATAGGAAACACCTCTGAACTTTCAAAATGAGCTTTGGTAAGAACATGAGTGGATGAAAGAGGGGAGATCCAGCTTCCCACACCCAGCTCATTCCCAGTCCTGGCATCACATCCTTCCCTGGGGGTAACATCTAACACTGGAGTTTTCCAGCTTGCACTGCCCTCTGAAACACATTCTCTCCCAAGAGTGAACATAACACCAAGCCCCCTCTCTCTTTGCTTCCAAGAGAAAGTGAGGGAAACAATCCTGAAGTGCTGGATGCTGTGCTGTGCTGGCTCAAGGTTTCAAGCCCTGCTATGATGGAAGATGACTGTGTCACTCTTGGCCAGACACACCACATACAGAAATAACCTCAGCAGGAAGTGGAAACTACCCTGGTCTAGTCAATGGGTTTCTGCGAAAAGTGTGATGTCAGAGCAGCAGCACATGCATTTTGGGGGGCTGGCTAGCAGTGTGTGACACCAGAATTGTTTCACAGTCCAGACAGGCTTTCCCCAGGGCAGTTAGGTGCCAGTGCTATCCTGACATCTGAGACTGCAGCTCTGCTCCTCTTCCATAAGTCTGAGCATCAGGGAGTGCCCAGGACTGGAAACAGACTCACAGCCACACCTGGGACAAAGGAAAGCTGTTGGTGTGGGGTGCTGGCAGTGCCTTTTGCTTTCAGAGGAAGAAGAGCAGTGAAAGAAAGGTGGGTAAGAAGTAGAGGGATAAAGAAAGATAGAGAAAGAGAGGGGTCTCCAGACATCAAACAGCTTGCTGCTCTTTGAAGCCTTTGCAATGGGGTGAAATTCCCCATGGACAAATCCTGGCCCTTTAGCAAGATCAGATTGCCTCAGGACAAGATGTTTGTAAGGAAAAAGCTGGCTAGATACCCCTGCCTCTTCTCCCAAAAATAACAGCTTGACAGAAAATTTGAATCTAAGAGCAGTTGTAGGTATCATGATACTTCTTTTTTACCTGTCCTGAAAGATTCAGGTGGTGTCACACATCACTGGCCCCGTATTCTCCATCCCATGTTCTGACATGCTGCCTGCATTAGCATTGTCTTTCATACTTATAACATCTAATACAGCAGAGCTCCCCATGGGGGAAAGAAATCTTTGAAGCTTCCCATTCAAATCTTCAAAGAAGGACCTTGAAGAGCACTCAGAGAGAGTGTGGGAAAGTCCAGAACAGGGATAATGTTATAAAGCTGACTTTCCCCTTGTACCATTTTCCCCTTGTACACACACAATTGTACCACTGTTGTGCTCCCACTTTTTGCACTTCTGTAAAACTCCCTGAGTGCTGAAGAAAGTTTATCCATTCTTCCATCCAGCTGGGAATGCCTACCAGTTTCTTCACAATATTGTGACCAGAAAGAACTCATAAATCTGCAATACAGATTGCAGCCTTAACCCTGGCAGTTAAGGAGGAGGTTGGACTGGGGGTGCTGAGTGTCTGCATCTCCAGCAGCATGCACTTCTGGGCATGTTTTTTCAAGCCAAATGCCAAACCTTTGCTAGCACACACCATTCTTGGAATTTTGCAAGCCAAATGCCAAACCTTTGCTAGTGGTATGTAGCAAAAGTCCCTAGAAAATGCCAAGTTATGCTGCTGAGAATGTGGTAAAATCTGGTCGATTTTAGTTGCGGAATCACAGCATTTGGAGAAATAAATCACTCAAGACATAAAAGGAGATACTTTTTCTTTCATTTCCTCTATGACATATTCCCCAACGCTGCCATTAAGTCACTACCTTTTACAGGAAATTCTGTGGTAAAACCAGAAAGATTCCATCGAACCAGACGAAAGAAAAGCGCGTGCATGTCCTGTGGCTGCTCACTGCCGAGCCTGACTGCGAGCAGTGAGCTGCTCTCTGCATTCTGGATTGAATGGAAACTGCTGAGTTCTACTACGTTTATTACTTAGCTCAGGACTACCTGCAGTATGTGCTCCAGGAATCACACCTCGGACCAGCCCAGACCAGGGTTGCTCATGTCTTGAGGACCATAGCATCCTCCCTGCAAGACCAAACCGAGGAGGCTCTCAGGCCACTCCTGGACAGGATTGACATCACCTCTGTAGCTGTTGCCAAGAGAATTTTCAATGGAGTCATGGATGAAAAGTTTGCTGATGGAAATACTAACTGGGGAAGAATTATGACCATATTTACATTTGGAGGTCTTCTCACCAAGAAGCTTCAAGAGCATGGGGTTCAGCTGACTGCAGAGGAGAAGGAGCAGATCTCTTATTTCATCACAGAGTACATCATAAACAACAAAGCTGAATGGATTGATGCAAATGGTGGCTGGGTGAGTTTCTCATTTTCCACCAAAGTCTGCATTAGGAGATTTCATTAATTATTGCTATAGACACTGTCAAAGCTATTTTATTCAGGGTTTCATTTATTGATTTAATATTTGGTGTCTGGAATGTCTCATTGAGACTTACAGTGAGAGCTTTGCTTCTGCTTTAAACAGAACAATCATAAAAGACAACTTTATTTTTAAAAGGCACTTGCCAGTTTTGAATGACAGGACCATGCTATAATTCAGGTTGAGAATGACCTTAGAAAATCATTTGGTCCAGCCTCCCACTCAAAGCAGGTTAAACCACACATACCCTGAAATTTCCATTATTAAATCTAAAATTAAGTGGCATCCTAAGGTCAGCACAGCAATTTTGCTTTCGTAGAGAAGCTGGTCCAAAAATACTTAAGTTCAAGGTAAGGAAAGAATACACAGGTGTGATCCTCACAAATGAAGTCAGCACTTGTGCTGTGGATTTCAACAAAGCCATTATTTAATCCCCCAAATCAGTTTTACTTACAACAAATGTACTGGTAAGTACAACTGGCATTAAATCTTTTCTGTTTGGACTGAGATAATCCTAGAACTTCCATCTATGAATGGTCAATGCTGAGAAAAATACTTGTTACTAAGTTTTGCCAAGCTGCTGAAATTCCCATTCTGCCAGTGAAGGAAAGGGGAATATCCTTTTGCTCTGCAAAATTTCTTCACACCCATACTTTTTTGTTTGCAGTAGGGGGAATCTGAGAATCAATGACACCAGTGTCAGTAATTTCCTTGGTACTTTTTTCCTTTACTTATATGTAAGTGCTACTTTTTCCTTCCACCCCCTCTCATCCCACTTCTCTCATATTTCCTACTACCTTTTTCCCCCCTGATTTATTTTCTAGTGTCTTGCTTTTTTTTTTTTTTTTTTTCTTTCTGCTTGTTTTAATCCTTCTCTATCTGTAGCATCAAAAAAAAAATGTGATAGTGACTCTTGGCCCCCTGATGCATTGGATTTATTATAAAGGCTTATCTTTCCATCTCTTTCAAATAGAGTCAATTTTATTTCAGAGAAGTATCAACTCCTGGCAACATTCTGTCATAATAGGTGGCTCATCATAGGAGAATGAGGAAGCTTAAAGGAAGATATTTCTGGGTGTATTACTACATCAGAAACCCAGTATTTGTACCTTCCTGGAAGATGTGGGCTCAGCTGATAGAGTTCATGTTTTCTATTTACACAAGGAGGGCACAGCCTTGACTTGGAGATGAAACAAACATTCAGCAAAGTGCAGCTATTTTAAGTTACTATTTTTAAAGATCTATTCATCTTTTGGAGGTAGAGCTCTGAAAGCTGTCCCTCACTGCACAGTGCTGCAGCACTGTTAATCTGACACAGAGAGTGGTGTGATTTACCTACACGCTGTTTTTAAGCTGTCCCTAACTGTGTGTGGTTTTTTCCACAGGAAAATGGCTTCCTAACAAAGTTTGAAAGAAGATCACTACTGTCCTTCTCCAAAATTACAGCCCTGTTCATAGCTGTTGTTTCCTTGTTCAGAGAGTACTACTGAAGTAAAAGGATCTGCCATTCCTGTGTAATCTAGATATTGCCACAAACTTCACTTCTCAGCCTTCCTCCAAGCAATATCAACAAGAGAATGATTTCCTTCCATAATTTGTTTTTAATTTATTTGTATTTATTTTGACTAAATACAATGTTTAACATGCTATCCTAATTACCAAATCTGAAGATGAGATCCTTCCAAAGGGGAATCTGCACAACATCTTGCAGCAATTCAAGTCCACCTTTCCAGGCAGGATTGCTTTGAGATCATTTTCCACATCCAGACAGCTCTTGGAATTTCTCTTGCATCTCCATGAAAGGACATTGTTTTAGTGAAATACAATCCAATGGGTTAAGAAACAAGTTTTTATGTCATTTGTTTTGTAAATGAAATACTACTGTAATGCATTTTATTGCAAGCTCTGTATAAGTAAAAGGGGGAGAGGGGGGATTTTTGTGAAGAAAAAAGAAATGGGAACTCCAATATAGAACTGGGTAGAAGTTACTGACACAGGCTAAGCAATTTCTGTGGGAAGAACTGTTTGTGGAAGCTAGCAACTTAAAAATGTGCACTCACTTACTGTTATAGCAATGGTATGTGTTTCTGTGCTGTATTTTTTTAATAGCTCACATCTACAATGAATGTTCTTTCATATTTGTGTGATGTAGTCATCTGGCTGAACGTTTTTTAAACTAGAATTTAAAAATAGGCAAGTAAAAATATTTCTTAAATGAGAAATTTGTGTAAATACACTAATATTTTAAGAAAATACATTAAAATATGTATTTTAAAGCCTTGAGATTGGTCTCATTTTTTCCAGAAAAATTGGAGCATGGCAAAAGATCTGTCTGAGTAAGATAATCTTAGAAGAGTTATCAAAATGCTGCTGGAAAATCCAAGTAGTTTATGGATTTGACCTGAGGTCCATGGATGTCAAGACTTTCATTTTCTGTATTACTTTTTAGGTACTATCTGGTAGCTTGCATAAGAAACAGATATCTTGTGGCAAAATAAATGAACTGGATCAGCTCTGATGACAGTAATCAGTGTTTTGGGATACATCATAAAGCTCAGCAAATTCATAGAACTTCCAGACTTTTACAATCCGGGGCAATTCATGTTTTTACTCAAATTCCATTTGCTTTCCCAGGCTAAACAGTAGTTGTTGAAGAATTCATTCTAGAAGGGTTTTCTTCAGCTGTAGTGATTTTCCATTAGGGAACTAAGGCTGGGTCTAAACACCCTTCTTCTTTTTTTAGATGTGTTGGGAGGTGAACCAAACTGAGCCAGCAGCTGCCTGTGGCACACACCACCAGTGTTCTGAGACAGATCCTCTAGAAAATCCAGCTTTGTGACACTGAGAGAACAAATCAGCCTCTTCTGTAACGGGCTCTCCATCTTTCATCTCAACATAAGACTCTTTTTTGCAGTAAGAACAATTGTTTTCTGGAAGAACCTGCCCAGGGATGTGGTAGAGCCCCTCTCCCTGGCAGTTTTCAGGGTACAACTGAACAGGACACTGGATAGTTTCATCTAGGCTCCCTTTTCCAGGAAAGGTTGGACCACACAAGCTTTCAATGTCCCTTCCAGCCTGGGTTGTTCTGTGATTCCATGGTCTAACTTGGTGGGTTTAACCATAGAACACAAATAGATGTTAATGTTCATTAGAACATGTATTTTTCTCTCTCCTTCCCCAGTGAAAACAAGAAATATTATTTAGCAGGAAGGCAGGATTTGTAAGGTAAACTTTGTTGCTGCTGAAGAAAAGATGGCAGCGTTCAAAGGGCAAGGGGCAGCAAAAGGAAAATGCCCACCTCCAGAACACCTATGGCAGCACACCTCCAGAACACCTATGTCAGAAATGACATTTTGGAACATGCTATGACACATGTCTTTATAGGCAGTCTAAGTCTTCATGCTAAGAACAGTAATTCTTACTCAGTTCCTTTTTGAGCATTACTGCAAGCCACATACAATAGTGGCTAACACCAACCTATTAATACCACATCCACTTCCTTTTGCACTGATCTAGTAACCTATTTCATACTCAGAAGTACAATTTTTTAGTTAAATATAAAGGGTAACTGTGTCTTTTCAAAATGTAGGTGATAGAGTAATTTTAGAACTTGTCTTCATGGTAAGGGCAGGGTTTAAACCAAAGAAGCCTGGATGGATCATTAACTGTCCAGTGGGCTCCAGGTTAACTTCACTGGGAGAAAACCTCCTTTTCTCAGTGCAGAGCCAGAAAAGCAGTGCTGAGATGTACCACCCCAATTCTAAGCATAGTAAAGTGTCTGAAAACAGCAGGGCTATTAGCTAAGTTTTATAAAATAGTGTCCATGTAACTGTCATGAAGTTACCCACCCGTGACACTGAGCAGTGCCCAGGTCCTGGGCACGGCTGTTTAAGGGATCCTTGGATCTGCCAGGGGAGAACAGCGTGCTGCTTCCAGAGCACAAGGTGAGGCCGAAGAGCTGCCCAGTGGGACAGCTGATGACTTCATCCCTGCACACAGCAGCTGAGATGTCACACAGAGCCACACAGAGGAGATTTATGAAAACAGCTGTTCTCCTATAGAAATGTCTCTTTCTGTGCTTCAAATCACAGAATCAGTTAGACTGTACAAAACCTCTCACATCGAGTCTAATCTTTGACTGCTCACCACCTTGTCACCTGGACCACAGCCCTAAGTGCCACATCCAGTCATTTCTTGAGCACTTCCAGGGATGGTGACTCCACCACCTGCCCGGGCAGTTCAAGGTGTGCTGGACCCAGCGGCCGGCCTTAGGCTGGCACATCTTCCCTGTGGGCACAGCTCCTGGGCTGGACACCGGTGACCACCACGGGGCCACCCGCCACAGCATCGCCAGAGCGCACGGCCACCGCCGGCTGCCGCAGGGATCCGAAACTGCTTGGCAGCCCGGGCTAGGGCATCCCACCGAAATGTACTTTCCCTTCCCGCAGCGAAATTAGAGAAGGGGAAATTCATTGCGATCCGCGCCAGGGGAGAAAAAAAAAACCAAAAAAAACCCCAAAACTAAACACCCCCACCACGCTGGTGTTGGCGGGAGCCCTCCCGCACTGTGGGGCCGGTGCCGCCCGGCTCGGAGCGGGCGGGCCCGGGCCGCCCCCGCGGCCCTGCCCGGCCCCGCCGCGGGCCCGCCCGGCGCACTGGCGCATGGAGCGGGCCGGGGACAGCGGCGCGATGGCGGCGGCGCTGAGGGCGGCCAAGCAGCAGCTGCGGGCGGAGCTGCGGCAGCGCCTGCGGGCGCTCGGCGCGGCCGAGAAGCAGCGCCAGTCCCGCCTGCTCGGGCGCAAGGTGGGTGCGGACACCCGGGCCCGGCCAGGGCCGGGCACGGCTCGCAGGCGAGCGCGGCCGGGACTTTCCAGGCCCTGCCGGTGATCGAAACCGTGACTCAGGCGCCCTTCCGCCGGGCGGGGGTGAGCTCCGCCTCGGAGCCTTCCCTCGGCTCTGCGGGGCTGGGGGCGCCGGAGTGACAGCAACTGCTGGCGGCTAAAGCTGGGCACAATTCACCCCGGAGCGGTGGGCACACATCACCCTGGGTGCTGGGGACACCCTGGAGTGGTGGCCACACATCACCCTGGGTGCTGGGGACACCCTGGAGCGGTGGCCACACATCAGCCCTGGGTGCTGGGGACACCCTGGAGCGGTGGTCACACATCACCCTGGGTGCTGGGGACACCCTGGAGTGGTGGCCACACATCACCCTGGGTGCTGGGGACACTTCACCCCGGAGCGGTGGTCACACATCACCCTGGGTGCTGGGGACATCCTGGAGTGGTGGCCACACATCACCCTGGGTGCTGGGGACAATTCACCCCGGAGCGGTGGGCACACATCACCCTGGGTGCTGGGGACACCCTGGAGCGGTGCAGCCCTGGGTGCTGGGGACACTTCACTTTGGAGCATTGGTCACACTTCACCCCGGGGTGCTGGGGACACTTCATTCTGAAGCAGTGGTCACTCATCACCCTGGGTGCTGGGTGCTCACCACTCTGAGCGGTGGTCACACATCACCCTGGGTGCTGGGGACAGTTCAGCCTGGAGCAGTGGTCACTCATCACCCTGGGTGCTGGGGACATCCTGGAGTGGTGGTCACACTTCACACTGGTGCTGGGGACAGTTCTCCCATGGATGGTCACACCTCACCCCTGGATTTTGGGGACAATGGGGGCAGACTGCCATACGCCCCAAGCAGAGCTCCTCGGGGTGGTGGCAGGTGTTTATCTCAGACATTTCACACCAGCCTGGCTCTGGCCTTACATACAAAACCCAGCCACTGCCTGATTTGGCCTCTTGTTTTATGTTCTGTCATCTCCCTTCTGTATCTTCCAGCGGTGTTTCTTCCACACAATTTTATTTCTAATATAATTTTCACACTCTGAAAGATATCAAGCAGGGTTTGCCTAACTGGTATCCTAGCACAGAGTGATATGGGTATGTACTTTTGAAATGTCCTGTTTGTGTTTGGATTACACAGTTTTTATATAGATGTATTTTATCATTTTAATAAACATAATAAAATTTTATTTTGCAGTCACTGCGTGTAATAGAGCACAGTCCTCATTTTTTTTGCAGCACCAGCGGGTACTTCTAGATGATCTACATTTATATGGTTATTTTCCTGCCAGAGGCTCTCAAATCATTTTATCGACTTCATTTACTACTAATGTGTAGCCACTTCATGAGTGGGATGTGGCAGCACAGAAACTTTTAAGTTGTAGGAAGTTTTAACTGGAATTTATATAACCCTTTTTTTCCTTGGGAATGCTTTTTAAAAACATATCTATATGTAGTGTCCTACCCTCGTGATAATGCATTTTAGTAATCATACATCCTAGACTTAAATCTCTTGAATTTTAGCAAGTACTGGTATGCATCCCCTTCAAAAATCCAGAGTCCTCAGCCAACTTTTAAAATACCTAGCCCATGTAGTACTGAATTTTTAGGAGCCCTCAGCCTTTGTCTAATTGCTGCTGATAAACACAGCAACACAGCACTCATTTCATCTAGTGAGAGCACTCTAAAAGATACAGCCTTTGTTTTGCTTAAAAGAAGGCATCAGGAAATATGACATAAATTGAAATTATCTTGCCCTTTTCTTAATCTGACACAAATTGAAAATCTCGAGCTTGCTTGAGACAGAGTGGCTCTGTGCAAGTGGCAGAAAGTAGAGTTGGCTTCCTCATGGGTGGTGGCTAATACAGCAGGTATGGAGAAATTTTGGAACAGGCTGAGAAAATACTTGGAATTATGTAAGGCCAAAAATGTGGCTTTGTAACATACATCAGTGCTTGTAGCTAATTAAAATAAGCAGGTTATTTTATAACACCTAAGTAATATTTTTAGTGGAAAAATCTCATTTCAAAATAATCTTTAAATTCAAAATGAAATAGCTTCACAGGCTGACCTAGCCACCAGTATTTAATTATCTTCTGGGTGATTATTCTTTTTTAATGCTTATGTTCATGATTAAAGTCATGCTATTTGCATGCTCTGATTCTGAAAAAATTGCCATCAGCTGGTGAACAAAGGACAGATAATATTTGTTAAGTGTGGAAATTTTTTCAGTCTTCTCAGAAACTGCTCCGAGTCATAGCAGGAGCATCTACACAATTCTGAGAATATCTGAAATTGTGTCTTCCTGCTCACATGTGGGTTTACATCTTCAACCTCATTTTTGTTCCTTTACAGCCTGATTAATGTGTTACTGGATACATCAGAGCAGATGGGGCCTGTGTGGTTCCCAGAGCACACAGCCCTTG